GCCGAGGCCGCTCGAGCCATAAAAGGCAACTTTCGGAACAGCGCGCGCTGATTGGCCCCGCGCCGCTCACTCACCGGCCTCGCCGCACAGTGCAGCATTTTTTCACCCCCTCTCCCCTCCTTTTGGGAAAAAAAAAAAAAGGAGATGGACCGAGAGAGCGAGAGCGAGATTGAGGAAGAGGAGGAGGGATAGAGTTTTGCTGTTGGCCGCCCTAGGGTGCTGGGCCCGCGGGCCCGGGGTGCGCGCCACGGGCTGCCCCGCCCGCGGGGCTCCGTCCGGCCTGTGTCTCGGCGTCCCCGCACCGCACCCAGGGACCCTCCGGCTGTGGCTGTCACATGAGCAGTGGGCACAAGGGTCAGCAGGGATGCGAAGGTCCCTGGTTGCTTTGGGTGCACCCTTAAGTTTAAGAAGTTGGCGAAGGGGTGGTCAGGGAGTCACCCCCCCCTTGCCAACACTAGCTCAACTGCCCAGAAAGCCTGCGTGGGGGTGGGGGCTCTAGCTGCGGGTGCTCAGCTTACTAAGTGGGGCTGGAGTATGGGGGAGTCAGGGGGCTTGTGGCCACTTAGGAGCCTCATGGCCACAGTCGCCAGGGACAGGGCAGGCCCAGGGGCCAGTGCCTGGAAGTTGCCTGTGAAGAGGGTTCCAAGGCTCCCCTGCTGCAGGCTTGGGGAGAGGGGGCTCTGTAGGTCAGAGAAATTGTTCCCGTGGAGCCAAGCTGCCTCTGAGGGCTGCCCAGTCACACCCAGCCAAGGCCAGGCCGCTAGCTACCAGGTACTGCTGGATTCAGGCGGGCAGGACTGCTCAGCACAACTCTGGGCCCACCGTCCATCATCTGTCACATGTAGTCGCAGCTGAACTGCCCTCGTGCACCATCTGGAGGTCCCCAAGGACCTGGGAAGGACACTCAATGAGCCAGAGATGATTTGGGAGGGGGCATCAGGGACAGTAGCTAAAGGCCAGCTGTGCTTGGAGCAGACCCTCTCCTTGTCACCCTTTCCTGCCCTGGGTCTCTCCAAACACTTGGCAAGACCTGGGTGCCCTATTCTGGGTGGTTCCCTGCTCTGAGCTGCCAGTTTGGCAGGCAGAGCCTGTATCCAGATGGTGGCCAACAGTGATCAGTGTGTGGCAGACAGCAGCCCAGGGGCCCAGGGACCCCAGAGGGACATCTGGCTCAGCCTAGAGGACATGCACCTTCTCAGGGCTGGTGACATGAAGATGAATTTTCGCCTGAAGGAGAACAGGGAAGATGGTCTCGTGGAGGCACTGGCCTCTCACCACCAGTCTGTCTCCAGCCTACCCAGGGCTTTGCAGCATAGGATAGGTGTTCATTGCCTGTGTTGAAACCAGTGACCAGTTAGTCCATATATGGATGTGGAATGTGTGTCCAGGGGAGAGGTCTCTTGGTCCAGCCCAATGTAGGAGGCTGGTGGCAGGTCTCTTTGAAGGCTGCAGAGGCCACAACCAGGTAGATAGGGTGACCGGCACCCAGCAGGGCCCACAGGCTAGCATTCCCGGGGAACTGCCAAGAAACTCGCTGCAGCTCCCCCCATCACTGCCCCAGCCCTGGGCGAACATTCCCAGCCCTTCCACACCTGCCTCCTGAGGGCCAGACTACCCTGTTCCTGGTCTGTGTCTCACTCAAGGGCATCTGGTTAGCCACCTTAGGACCTGCCAACCCTGCCATTCAAGGACTGGGGCAGCTGGGGGGGGGGAGGTGTGTGTGACACTTTTTGTTCCCTGTTGATGAGCCTGGAGGAGTGCAGGGCAGGCTGGGACCAGGGACATAGGACAAGGGATGGGAGACAAGGGATGGGGTGGAGGGCAGACCTGGTCCCCAAGCAGGAGCTTGTGCTGCCACCTCACCTCTTAACCAGGGGCCGGAGCACCAGGGCCGCCCGACCTGAGACTGGAACACCCCTGGCCCCGTGCAGCAGCCATTTCCTGGTGCTCTCCTCTGTGCCCGTCAAGGCCCAGCCCAGAAAGGCCCTCCTCAGCGGGAGCCCCCAGCATGTGCAACGTCACCCTCCCCGCGGAAGACCACTGCCCGGGGCGGGCTGCTGGGCGCCGCACCCCTCGCTCGCTCGGTTTCCCCGGCCGAGCACGCACTGCTCTGTGCAGGGGGCTCTCTTCCCTTCTGAGCCCCGCCTCAGTTTCTTCCTCTGAGAAATGGAGCTCAGGGTCCCTTCTCAGGCAGCCTTCCCAGGGCCTGCATCACCCCCACCGCCTCGCACTGCGCCCACCCCGGGGCCCCGCTCTGCGGAAGGAGCGCGGGGCAGGGAGGCGCTGTGGCCCCTCGGGAAGGACCCGGGCAGGGGGAGTGGATGGGGG